ACTACTACTACTACTCCGACTCCTACTACTACTACTACTACTACTACTACTACTACTACTACTAAAAGTACTCATACCACAACGAGAAAGAAGAAACACGAGGACGAGGACTGCATGATACTGTTCGAGTCTACATGCGGTGATCACTGACAGTTAACGGCCGGCATGTTTTGATTGAATTCAACAGCAATGCACAAACAAAGGACTTCAATCCATCTGAAGCTGGCATGCACAAGTCGAGAGTATCTGGCCTCGCCAGTCGCGGTGGATTCCCCCGCAGGCGTTTGGCTGCGCGGATCTCGGCTACCGGACACCGTCCGAACACCAAGGAGACAAGTTTAACCTGTTGTGCGGTGCACTACAGTGCCAAGCAGCAGTTTAAGCAAAGCACCCTTCTTGCCGATTGAGTTTCTGTGAAGCCAGAGTCGAATAGTTGCTGCGTTCTACAGCACCATGTGATGAGCCGTGTTGCTCGATGGCCGCGCCGGACACGTGCCCTTGCGGTCTATGGGGTACAAAGCTCAACACGGATAAGGCCGTGGCCCAAAGCATCCATGTTGATAGGAGGTGCACTATCTGCCGTCTGAGGCCTGATTGCGACCAGCCGAAAGATCAAAGCACAAGCCACCGTCTTGAAGATGGCATCTCAGCATCAAGCGGCATGTCGCCCATGGCCCCTCTGAGGGAACCGAGCTCCTCGATGGGAGTTGTGCCGGGAGAGCTGCTTGTGATCGGCCGCCTGGTGACTTCACATCACAAGCCAGTATATCAGTGAATGTACAATACATATACATATACATATATATATATATATACATGTATACACACATATATATAGAGAGTATATATATGATATGTATAAAGCGAAAAAACCTACCCTACCGTACAGCTGCGGAGTTGGCTTGCCGGGATGAAGGCAGATTTCCAAAGCTGTGCTGCAGACAACATGGAGCCAGCTCCCGAGCCCGGGACTCGACCGGCTCTGCCAATGTTGGCTCTTCTTGCTGTACCGTGAACACGCTGCCCGTTGGGTTGTCGATGCAGGACCTGAATCGCTCGAAGGCTCGTGCTGTAGCGAGCAAGCACCGCTCAGAGCTCGGACTTCAAACGTCTCACGGGACATGCTTATTAGGTAAGGTAGCATGTGCATACCCGCACATTCACCAGGCTGTCTGGCAAGTCCTTGCTTGGTGCACTAGAAGTGTCGGCAGCCAGGTGCGCGGCTGAATGCTGCCGATGCACAACAGGTTCGCATAGTTCAGGATGTGCAAGACGTCCTGCGCATGAAGTGTTGGAGCCTCCTTATGGACCATGAATCACTCAACAACTCGAGCCAGCGCTGGGAACCCTAGTCTTGTCAATGGGTCTGCAGCGTGGGGGTTCTCATCATCAAGGTTCCATGGACTCGTTGGCTGTGTGCCGTAGATGCTGCCTTTTTCAAGCGTCGGACACACTGCGCCAGTAGTCTGCTTGCTCGGACAGACTGCGGATTCGTGCTCGGAGCTTCTTCAACTCCTCACGTATCTCGAGTGTCCTGAAGGGGCAATAGAAGTGCGGCGACAGTTTGTGGCATGGGTACAGGGACTCTCTACGTGCTCGATTCTGGTCGATTTCCTGGAGTCGAAGGTCATCTTGGATCGCATCAAAGTGAAACCATACAGGCTGTGCTTCTGCAGTCCAAGCCTATGTCGGGCATATCTGGGTTTCAACTGGCGGCCACTGGTGTCAAAACTACTTCCTTGCGTACAAGAAAATACGTTGCAAGTCGAGGCTGACTGAAATAAGAGTAATTAAGCTCAACATCCTGGACCCTCGCCGCCACCCTAGCGGTGGCGTTGGACATCCCACGCTATGATTGTCGCTGTGATTATGATCACGATGGTTCTAGTTGTCTCTGTTCCGCTGTTCCGATCAATCTGAATGACACTCGGCATTGATGCGTCCTGAGCCCTGCTCGCAGCTCCTCCCTCTTCTGCCCACCGCGCCGGTAGGAGTCCGTCAAGTTCAGGTAATACTCTTCATCCGAGCTGAGTTGCTTCAGCTTTTGCTGGGCTTTTGCCAAATCTTCCTGAGAAGCCTTGAACTCTCGGAAGGCAGAAGAGTCTCTGTATCCCCGTGGCTGACGGAGCGAGTCTGCACGGCGCAGGATGTCCTGAAAAGCATCCCAGCCGGCGGCGGCCCACTTCTTTGCGTCCCTCGTCTTCGGAAAACCTGCAGCTGGTGGCTCTCGGATATCATCCGCCCTTTTTGTGGAAGTCCCCGGGTTGGAGGTGTAGGTTCTGCGACTTTCCTGAGTCCGCGCCGAGCGTCTCGCCTCTTCCTCACTCCACCGTTTCCGGTACTCCGGGTCGATTAACTTTCCGTAGGCCTCCGACAGTCTTTGCCACCGCTTCAAGGCGCCGGGGCTTTTGTTCACATCGGGATGCTCTTCTTTGGCACGCCGACGGTAAGCTCTCTTCACTTCCTTGACGCTGGTGCCAGAGGGAACGCCCAAGACCTTCCAGTAATCCTCCGGGCTCGCTCTGCAGATGCTCCGAAGCCGGAGGCCTCTTCCTGGCCTGGGCCTGAGACGACCGGGCCTCAGCGGAGCGGTGAAGAGCTCGGAGACCAGAGTCTGGGCCACAGCTGCCAGAAGCGCGACGCGCGCCACGCGGAGGGAGCTTCGAACCATGGCTCTGGACCTGGTCCTCTCCTTGAGGATGCCTTTGGAAAAATCGACCCTCCCCTCTTGCGAGATTTTGCGAGGGCGGTGTCTGACGTGCTTGATGCGTCTTCGTCCTCGGCTGCCTCCGAGCCCTTGGAAGTAGTTGTGTACTATAATATACTATAACATACTATAATTTACTGCAATATACGATAAAATACTATTATGGCCTTGTAGATGTTCCAGAATGTTGTCTTGCAGTGGCGTGTACATCGATCAACGAAGCTTGGAGCCATCAAAGATCTTCAACGCTTCAAAAACACCCCTGGAGCATGGAGACACAGCGAAGCATCTCAGGGCATCTCGGGGCATCCTTCACTCTGATGCTGACGCACATTCGGCCCTGAATGTGGACCTGCACGACAATCTCATTCCACACACAGGAGCTTCCAAAATTTGATCCTTCTGGGACAACCCACTTGGAGGTTCATGGGTAGTTATAAATGGGGTTATAAGCAGGGTAGCTATAATCATATCCCATATTGGGGGACTTATAACCCTAGTTATAACTACCCAAGAACCTCCAAGCAGTGAAACTTCCCGAGGCCCCGACTCGCCGGGATGTCCCGCCATAGTGGCCTCGGGGAGGAAGCTCCGAGCGCCAGGTGCTGTTCTACTTAAAGGATCATGGGACTTAGTAAGTAGGGTTATAAGCCCCGTAATTGGGGTTATAAGTATAGTTACCCCAATTATAACCTTACTTACTAAGTCCCATGATCCTTTAAGTAAGGTAAGGGTCGAAGCAAAGGCCCGGGCGGCTTGTGAGGCGTTTGTATTTCTTCTCCGCCGAACCTTTAGATTTACAGGGCTTGAAGGGCGTAGTGTTTGGGCTGTTCGGGCTTTGAGCTTATATTTGAGGGACCGGTTCATGCAGACCCACGTCACCTTCGTCGGCGTCCAAATCCAGGATGTGTGCCTCAGGCGGCCAGTAGTTCGAACGTGACTAGGTGACTAGAGTGAAGCGCTACGACCAAGACTTGCACCCACTGTGGCAACTCGTAGGCACCAAATCCTGCGGGGAAGCGAAGGAGACACCGGCCGACAAACAACAACCTGGCGCGCTCCTGTCGTGTTGTCTTTGAACAGCTCCCAAAGCTTCGTCTGAAAGTTCGAGAAGACCTGTCCGCTAGCTGCAGCACAGCTCCAAGCTCATACCATTGTGAAGGCTCAGGGTCAGAGCCTTTACCCGGACCGGCCCTACCCACCTTGAACCCGAGCCCCGGTAACGGGGAGTCAAGGCCTGCTGAAGCTGGCCGTCTGCCAAGAACTCGAACGTGCCTGGCCAGTCTGGAAGGGAGCCCGAGCCAAATCACACCCACGCATGCAAGTGCCTTAAATGTCCACTTCCCATGCCATCGCAAGACTACCCCAATGTGCAGGTACCACCGTCTGGGTTCATGGCGGATGCTAACTTTACAGCATCGCGATGGTGATCCAGATTGTCATGGTTGCGATGATGACGAAGAAGCGGAAGAGTGGCGGCGGATCATGGCGACGATGATACTTATGGTTGTGGTGATGATAGCGCTCATGGTGTTGATGGTTTTGATGGTGATGGTGGTGAGGATGATAATGATGATGATGATGGTGATGATGGTGATGATGGTGCTGATGATGATGGTGATGACGACGATGACGATGATGCTGATGCTGATGCTGATGACAGATCTGATTAAAGACAAGAAATGGAAGATAATGATACTAGGGTGGTGGTGCTGGCAGCTCCGATCATGGCTATCATTGCAGACATGCCGCCGCAGGACTCCACGCCGATTGGCTGCTCCACCTCAGCATGGCTATGATGCGAACTCCATACGAAACAGGGAGAGCAGGGAGAACAGAAAGTCGCACGGCTTGGGCATCTTGGCAGAGGAGTCGCTTCCATAAAAGAAAAGAATAAACGAAAAACATACACAGATATAGATTCAGATAACGTGCGTATGTGCCTTCATGTAGACATAGCCTAATAGCATATGCATATATATATATATACATATATATATATATACATATATATATATATATGTATCGATTTATTTCTTTATTTGTTTGTAGATGTGTGTATGTGTATCTGGGGAGTGGGTGCATCACACAGACTGACACATGCTTACAGCGATGAGTCATGCGCGCGTACATATACGCCGCATAAGCGCTTGCATCTCCTATCATGCCGATTCGTTTCAAGGCACTGTCTGCAACAGTGTACCTACATCTTTCCTCAAACCCATTGAAAGCATGTTCTTACGTACCATGATAGATCCAATCACGGGTCCGACCATGTGGGTCCTAAGGTTGAGACTTGCAAGATTCTAAGATTCATTCCAAGTGGCCTTTGGCAAGAACCGTTCACGAAGAAGCGCCTTGAGCATCGACTCCAGCCCCTGCTCAGGAAGCTTTGGCGGCGGTGAGGGGAGAAGCAGACGTAGCAATCGTCCTAGTGGCATATATACATATATATATATATATATATATTATATATATATATATATACATATAGGCATGTCTTAGAGTGACTATACTTTACATCGACTCAAGAAAGCCTTCCCACGCTGAAGCCAGTCTTGCCTGGTTCTCAGGGTAGGCTGCAGGAGCCATTCTCACCAGCGCCTCGAGGAAATGGCGGAACCTGAAGATGTCCAGGCTGAGCTTGCTGTGGAGGGCAGTTGAAATTCAAACTCACAAATATCACAATGTGGGTAAGCCAAGCGCATGAGCGCGGTTGTCGGGGCATGCACCTCGTCAACGACGGTCAAGCATGCGCAGCACTGCAGCGGGCGAAGCAGCTTGGTGCCAGACATCCAAGATCTTCTCGCTAGCTTCGGCATCTCCTAAGCGCCAAAACCTGTACTCAGCAGGGCTTTGCCAGCTTTGCGATGTTTCCTGCAACCAAACTCACAAAGAGCACTGTAGGATCCCCGCTTGCTTTGATCAAAGAAGAAGTCCATGGGGCCACTGGATCCAAACTGCCTGTAGCGTTTGCGCGTCTTGAGATGCGGAAAGGAAATCCTGTGGAGAACCTGGTCCCCAAGGATTGGATGGTGGGACGGCGCCCAGGTTGAGCAGGGCCATCACCCATGGTACGGTTGGTGCCTGTGACCAGGTGCAGCTATGACTCCTTAGGATTCCTTACGCACGATGGGTAGATTTGCTTCAAGCAGGGGCACTAGAATCAAAGCCTCAAAACCGAGTCAGCTCCCAGCCGTGCCTCGACTCACTCGACTGACTCGGCTGTTTGCCCTGCTAATTCGGCTTTGTCGTGTCCGGGCGCTGTTTCTATCGTCGCCATCATCCTCGTTCTCCTCCTCTTGCATGAAGCTATCCTGGGAGTTTGCACAAGCGAGGTCCCCGGCTCCGGAAAAGATCGAGCTCAACATGCAGATAGTGCAGCTCAATCACACCACCCACAATTGCCAAGATGATAACTGGAGCTGCAGATGTTGCAGGGAACTACAATAAATGCTTAACTCCTATAGCATCAGCAATCACATGCAACACCCAACGGTACCTTAAATGTTTCCACTCGCCATTTGATGGTACAGAAAGTACGAACACGGCCGGCACCTAAATTGACGCAAATCATGCGGTAGATAAGACATGATAAGACGTTACATGATGATGATCCGCAAGGGCTCAGAGCGCAGGAGGATTCATGCCAAGGTCTTGGTAAGGATAAATACACGGGATCATCACAGTTTTGAGGCATTGTAAGCAAGATGTCTAGGATTCGTGGTCGGGAGAGTAGTTGAGATTATGGCACGGACTTCTTCAAGGACTAGAAGGATTGGAAGGGTCCATGTCATATGTACTCGGATTCGCCGGGATGATACAAGCAATATCATGGCAATAGTAGGTGGAAAATCTCGGTAGGATTACCAACCTACGCTTGAAGGTCTTATTCGCGGCTCGAACATACGTACACGTGGGATTCGGAAACGGATTTAGCGAGGTTCTGATTGGGGTTTTTGGCATATACAGTAGGAGCCTAGGTAGCAAGGATTGTTCAGGAGATAATACACGGTATTTCAGGATTTCTAGTCAGGAGTACGGCAGGGAAGGCTATAAAGGATGGCAGTACTAACTACTGAACAATAGCACTTCTAGGGAGCACGGTGGGGGTCGTAATCAGTCTGGTTTCCAGAAAGACTTCTGACAGGGGTTTTGTTGAGGACAACGTTGGTAGAAAGCAGAACAGAAACGTTCGGGGGGGGGGCGGGGGGGGTGAGTATTTTTTGATTCTTGGTATAAGGTATAACGTACAGCGTAGACTTGGGCGATAGACTGCTGCAGCGTAAACACCGACTAGCCTTTCTAGTTTGTGCAACGCGGGAGGACTCGAGTTGCAGTATGGAGCAAGGTAGGGACTACGGCAGAACGGCCGCATCTGAGCACCCAAACCTGCATCTTACACAATGCCATACCATACCGTACTTGTACCATACCATGCCCATGCTAGACTAGACGATGCTGTGCTGTGCTAGACTAGAATGTACCAAATACGAGGCTTGTCATCCCCTCCAAAACTGGGGCCTCGGCCTCTGCCTCGCCCTCCTCCTCGTCGTCGTAGTCGTCGTCTTCATCTGTGGCCTCGGTCGCCTCTCCTCAGGGTTTGTTTTCTTGATGCCTTGTTGACTGCTCTCCTCAGGGTTTAGGGCTCAGGGTTTACAGGGTTTAGGGGTTTAGGGTGTTGGGAGGTGTGCATGTTGCGATGGTGGCAAGGAGCCGGCCTGAGTTCTCCTTGGATGCCTTGCCTTGCCTCAGAAGGATCAGATTTCAGAGCTGCTCACCGGGAAATGCCTGAGCGCCCTGCTTGGCATCTCGGGAGCTCATCACGGATGGCCTGTCCCACGCAAAAGGGGCTTTATTTATTCTGCATACCGCTATCCAATGTCAAAGCATGCACTCACAGTCCGCCTCGGCGTGAGCGGCCGGAGCTCCTGTAGGTCTTCGTGAAACGCCTCTCCGTGCCGCCTCATGCCGGACATGATGTACCTGTTCACCCGACTGAGCGGGCATTCGGGAGTCAGCATTCCGGTGTCTCGGAGAAGCATCCAGAGTTGGAAGGCATACATGACCCAGGGGTCGTCGCCGGGTCTCTGGATGATCCTCCGCACTTTGGCATAGACCTTCCTTTGCTGTCTGGTGTCCCCGTTCTGGTTCACAGATCAAGGCTAGCTACATTCTAGGTTCCATGAGCATCATTTTCCGGAAATTAGCAGATGCAGGCCGGTTGTTAGAGCTCCCTCTCGGTAACATATCACCAACATAAATAATCGCTGAGACCTATAAGTTTAATACCAAACCAACCCAAACTACTTGGTTTGCCTGTTTTCTTCCATATAACTCACATCTGGGCCCTACTGCTACAAAACGATGACCAACAAAGGAGGGAGGGAAAGCTGTTCCCTTGAGGTAAGGAGCTTGAGATCCCCCACTTGCCGCAACAAGATATTGTAGATTTCTCGGAACACCTCTGTGGGGTCCGTATAGCCGGTGAGCTCGGTTGGATCCGTGATCGTCCGGTCGTTGGGAAGGCAAAAGCCTGCAGAAAGCTGCAGTACAAACCGATTCCCCTCGTTCCCCAGTGTTGACGAATCGGGGCTTGTTCTCTAAGTTCCCTATTGGGTCAGTTCTAGCCGTTGCCTTCATAAGGACTCCGAAAGGAACCGCGATCCGGATCAACCCACACTGAACCTGGACGTGACCCTGAACAGATTTGACATCCTTGGATCGCAATTTGCAATCTGTGAACCCGTGAGGTCGTTGATCTCTACGCACCGCCGCACCGGGTTCTCGGCCCCGCCGACATTGAGGAACTGAGTCGATGCCTCTGCAGGAATCTCGCTAGCAGTACTGTCCTTGGCCATGTTGTCCATGACGAACTCTCCCGTATACACCCGGCCATCTTCGTAGGTGTACCGGCCTTCACCGTGCTTAATGTTCTCCGACCATTGGCCCTTGTACTGAGCGCCGCTGGCAAAGTTGAAAGTTCCGTAGCCGGATCGAAGTCCTTTTTGCCACAAACCTTCGAAGCTGTTGTTCGACTGCTGCGAAGGCATCTCTTTCCTGGGACCTTGGCCTTCCCGGACATGCCAGGTATACTTGCCATGGCCCTCGGGCATGTCATCTGCCCATTCTCCGGTGTAGCACTCCAGCATTCCGTTCTCAGACCACGTCATGGTTCCGAAGCCATGAATGCGGCCCTGATCCCAATGCCCTTCGTAGGTGTTCTTGCTAGGCCAGACCTGCCGTCCATGGCCATGCTTGCAGCCATCTCGCCACTCTCCTTCGTAGAAGGACTCTCCGGCCCGGTCGTAAGCAAGGCGGCCCTTGCCGTGTCGCTTGCCGTTTTCCCACTGACCCTCGTACTTGGTGACCCCATCCGCAGCAAGGAAGACTCCATGCCCGTGTCGCCTTCCATTTAGCAGGTTCCCTTGATACGAAGAGCCGTCGGGCCACGTGTACTTGCCGTGGCCCTGTATATCGCTTTGTACAAAAGGCCCTTCGTATTGAGTGCCATTCTTCCACTGGTACTTGGCAGACAAAGCATCAAAGCACCTTTTGCCGATGCTGTTTGTCTTCACATACCCCGTGTATGTGTGCTCATTCAGGGTCACGGTGACGATCCGATGTTCTTCACTCGGACTTTCTGTTTCTCGCTTCTTGTCCCTCTTCTTCTTGGGTTTCTTGGGTGTTACCACCGCCTTCTTCTTTGATGTTCCCATGGCACGTGCTGAATCAACGGCCGCACATACCTTGCATGGTTTCTTTTGCTAAGCTGCATGAGGGGCTTGTGCTGAACGGCGAACGAGCACAGGCCGTTAATGCATCTTCCTAGGTTAAAAGCGTGCATAGATCTAAGCTACTGCGTGGCAACTTTGGAGTTACTTCGGAGTTTGGAAGACGTTCGTGGAATCTGTCCAAGATGTCGCGCCCTGGTCTACATAAGAAAATGCTGCGGCAATGGTCCTTCTTGCGAGCAACACTACACTCCGGCTTGGCTGCTGATCCGGCACAAGGCCTCGCTGCACAAGTCTCAACGACTTCAACTTGACTGCAGGCAGGGCTCTGTTGTGTTCTGCTAATGCCCCAGAACTTGTGCCACAATCATCGACCGGATTGTCAGCTGATTGCAGCCAGAGACTATGCTACAAGTCAGAAGCGGCCGTCGGCACGCTGGTGTCTTGGGGACCGGAGCTCAAGACTGCCTTGGCATCTCAGCTCCTGTGAACAGCCCCAAAAGGCCCCGAAGAGTTGATGTGCGATCTTTGGCACATGGCTTCTGATAATCAGAATGCATAATTGAAGGGCTCTGTGTCTTTCAGTAGCACGTCGAAATTGACCCGGACCTGACACACGAAACCAGGAATCAATCATGATCTGTCCAGCTTCAGCTGACCTTGCCTTGCCGCCTGATTGCACTCGGATTACCTGCAAATGCCAGCAAGGCAAAGTCCCACCCACGACTTGCTCGGACTCTGACGTAAGCTGCCTCGCGTCCATCCGTTCCGGCTAGGATGCGGGGGTCCACCAGCTGAGCAGGGTTGCCAAAGAGCGCACCTTACCAATTATCAGAATACACTGAGATTCGAGATCGTATCAGCAGCTCCGCATTGTCAAGCTTAGCCGATCGCCCAGCAGTCTGGTTAGCGGGCTGGACGACAGGGGGCAGTAAAGGCGTATCCTGAGCTTGTACTCCAGCCCAGCCTCCCTCTGCTTGTCTTCTGCCTGAGCCGATGACGTGCGCGTGTGCCTGCCAGGCTGGCAGGGCACGTGAACAGATCCGTAGCCCTTGACCTTGGCACAAGGAGTCAGAAGCCAGCCGGGACAGATAACGCGGGCACTCCCCATGGAAGTGCTTAACGAAAGGCCGAGCAATGCACGACTCGCCGATTGCAAAGATCTGTTCCTCAAGAACATACGGCAGGGTTCGGCACGCTGTGTGTTAGCAAAAGTGTGGCGCACCATAGACAGTCACCACGAGCCGTGGCCATCCGAACGGCCTCACGGTCGAGCAAATGCAGTAGCATGAGAAGTACGTGGACGATATAGGTTGTGCTTTGTTCTTTGTTCAAGACAATTGCTCACAGCATCATGCCCTTCCTGCAAGCTCGTGCCGGAAATTCTAAATACCATGTTCGGCACTCCCAGCACCGCATCATGGAGTTGATGTGCCCCAGGGCTGGTCATCTTCGCGTGCTGAGGCGTACGCGAAGTGGACTTGTAGACCAGGCCAAGGGGGAAGCTCCAGACCTGGACAGATCAGCGAGAAGATGCCCTGCTGCTTCTGAAACCGGCCAATCCAAGCGCCTACATTTTCACACTATATACAACACACCGCATGTGTATGAAACATATATATATATATACAGAGAGAGCGAGGGAGGGAGGGAGGGAGGGAGGGAGGGAGGGAGAGGGAGAGAGAGAGAGAGAGCGAGACAGAGAGATTGAGATAAACGGAGACACTTATTCATTTGCGCACGTGTATCTCTACTCAGAAAATGACACGTATATGCATGCATGCATGTAGGGATGCACCAACGGCTCCACATATAAACACATATAGACAGACAGACAGACAGACAGACAGACAGACAGACAGACAGACAGACAGATAGGTAGGTAGATAGATAGGTAGATAGATAGATAGATAGATAGGTAGATCGGTAGATAAATAGATAGATAGATAGATAGATAGGTAGATCGGTAGACAGATAGATAGATAGGTAGATAGGTAGGCAGATAGGTAGGGCAGATAGCTGGATAGGTAGGTAGCTAGATATATAGATGAATAGAAGATAGGTAGAAATCGATAGATCGATGGATCGATGGATGGATGGGTGAGCTGTACCTGGGCCCCGCACGACCTCGGAGAGTCCCCCTCGCCAAGAGGGTGCCTCGGCTAGGACTTTGAGGGCATTGGAGTTGGGGCATGCATATATATATATATATACATACATATATATATATATATATACATACATACATATACATGTGTGTAATATACACGTAGCTATGTGTATATAGACATGATTTCATCTTATGTTATTGATCATCTGTTATATACGTTATATACTATATGTTACATATTATATACTCTGCGTAATTTTGTGGCTCCGAATTTGGAAGTTTAGGAGCCAGTGTCTTGTCTGTTGCCGTGGGGTTTCCGTTGGTACACGAATCTCAGGCGGCATGCTTCGATGCAGCCTACCGTTGAGGTCTGGGCTGAAGTGGCTGCGATGGAACTGCACGCGAGCTGCGTAATCCTTGGTGATCTCTTGCAAAAACCATCAACCTTCGAGAACGCATTGGAGTATGGGCCACATGAGCCCATGGCCCGTCGGGCACCCCTGTCAGAAGCGTCCAGTCGGGTCCATGCTGTACCTCAGCAGGGCCAGAGTGGAATCGGCCGGCAAAGTGCGGCCACTTAGGCCACGTCAGAGAAGACGCACATGAAGGGGCCGTTGCCGCCACTTCCTCGGAGCACTCTCAGTGCGACCGCTTGCGCAAATCCTCCGAAGCCCAGGCTGCGGACCCATCTCTGCTGCTTCGATTTCCCCATTCAGGACCATCCTGAAACACCTGGCTGCTCGGATTCGGCAGGAACGTCGCCACCTACCCTGTCTGAAGACACCCGAGAGCAGCGGAATATGAGAGGCCCACGTCGCTTTCGTGTCGGGCCTCTCGCGGCGAGCCTGGCACTTCGCAGACTACACTTTTCCACACTACACTACGGGGTGCGAGTATCTTCGTTCTCAGATGAAAGAGACCCTCTCACGTCGTGCGGAAGTTTGGAGCTGATCCCTGAGGCCTGGGGGCCTGATTTACGGGTTTGGAGGATTCTGGATTCTGGAGGCTAGGATACTGGCGGTCGAGGGTATTTCTTCTTAGAAGCCCTTTCCTGTCCGAGTGGTCGGCAGCCACGCTTGTGGCGAGAATCTCCGGAACAAGATGTGTGGCTAGGGCTAGGGCTTTGAGATAGAGGGGTGAGGCCGGTGAGGTCTTTGGGACCTAAGCGTTCGGGTTCTAGGGTTTGGCGCGTCCTCTGACTGGCACTCTGCGACTTGAAGCATACAAGCTGAAAATGCTATGCATCTCAGCGGTTCATGAACAGAACAAACACTTTCGCCTACCTAGGAGCAAACTACCAGAAGATGCAGGAGCACAGAATGCTACGCGATGGTAAACAATATGCTGCCGAAGCAGCAAGTACTAACCACAGATACATCAGATGCAGTACGAGAGGCGCATGTGTGTTTTGTACACATACGAGTTTTCCCATTTCTATGTACGAGCGTGTTTAGCCAAAATTGGGAGCGCTGAGAACGGCCTGCGGCGAGAGATCTCCCGGGCCTGGGGTGGGCAAATCAACATCGCAGATTGGAGGAAAGGGGTTGAAGTTGGAGACTCGGGTCGAGGGATGAGTGCTCAGGGCTTTACTTTTCCTGTTGCAATTACTACCACCCTGGCCCGGGCCCTAAACCCTAAACCCACCACCAGCACCACCAGCACCACACTTGCTTCTCTCAGGGGCCCGTGCGCCTGGCGTCCTCCGGCCTTGGCAAGCAGAAAGACTGTCGTGCCATAGTAAGGGACAAGGAGGAAAGGCGACATACCAAATCATGTCGAATCATTTCTAGTCGAGACAATAATAACAATAGCAATAGCAACAATGAGAATAATCAGAATGCGAATAATCACAATCAGAATTGTTAGTGTTGATGCTGACCAGAGTCAGAATAATGACCAAGGTGATACTACGATATGACAGAGTGATGTAGATTTCACGAATCTATACTTGTCTTCTGTAAACCCTTTGGAAAAACATGGACAAGCAGTCAGGCCCGTGTGTCTGCTCAGTACGGTTCTATTCGTTTTTGCTGCTTTTTATCATCACTCCTGATTCTCGCATCAGTTGACGATGTGGGTTGAAACCTGGTTCCTGGCCGGTTCATTAGCCAGAAGTTTCTAGCTGTGGAGAGAGATCACTGAGAGAACCTTCAATACAGGCTGCCGCCAGCATTCCCTCACGTAGGGCCAGGATTCATGCAGACGTCTTCGGGGCTCTCTTGGCAGAAGTGCAGTACTCATTCCGAAGGCTGGTCTTCATGGACTTTTTGCTCTTGCTGCATCCGGGCTCCTTTGACGACCGTGGAATGATGTCTGAGACCTTCCTACGAGAGTATGCACGCTGAGCGCCCGTTTGGACGCTCGGCACCGGCATCCAACAGCAGCTGCCCGACGGAAGCATGACCGTTTCTTGACGCTTCCATCAAAGCTGTGTGGCCTTCTGAGTCACGTGCATCTTTCTCTGCACCGGCTTCCAAAAGCAGCTGCACGACCGCAGTATGACCGTTCATCGACGCTGCAATCAAAGCCATACGCCCGTTGATGTCCTGCACTTCTTTCCGAGCTCCGGCTTCCAAAAGCAATCGCACGACTGGAGCGTGGCCTTTGTCTGCTGCAGCGAAGAGTGGGGTTATGCCCATAGTGTCGCAAAACTCTTTGTCAGCCCCCGCTTCCAGGAGCAACTGCACGACATCCGCTTGGCGACGAGCAGACGCTTGCATCAGTGGGGTAATGGCCCAATTGCGAAACTTCTCGTCACGAACATCCGGATTCATCGGAAGCTGCAGCAGCCTTTCGACCTGCAAGCTTCAAAAAGGCTGCCTTCCCTATGGAGATGGGGGGAGGCAGAGCACCCCCTCGAATTTCTAACACCTTACTAGGACCTAGGATTTCTTGTCTGCCCGCCTCGGTCAGGTTGACCTCGCATGCCGCGTCATCGAGACTTTCCCGCTGGCTCTCCACAGCCGCGTTGAACTCCACTACCACAGCCTGCAGATCCATCGCGGAATCCAACTTGAAGGAGTCTTCCAAAGCGCTGCCGTCATGAAGTAGCCGTTGCCTAAACCGTGACGGCAAGCCGTGCTGCTGATGCAGTCGCTGCTTCAAGGACTTCACATCGCTCAGCTCTGTGAGGGGAAGGCTTGTTTGTCAGCTCCTCCCCTGACAGCCGCGTGATGCGCAGCATGGCTGGAAAAGAGCCTCCCTTCTTGTTACAAAGCTTCGTCTGGGTTGCCCCTGAAATCCTCTTGGTTTAGGCCTAGGCCCCGGAACCTGCGAGCCAAGGCAAGTACCGCCGTGTGCCTCGCCCGGGCCTCGAGCTGATTTGGGCGCCAATGCCTGCGAAACAAGCCTAGGCCCTTATACACATGCACCCTCAAAGACTTTCTCAGTTCATTCACGAATCGTGTTTACTTCAGAAAAGTTCCGGCTTGGGGTCTGAGCATTAGGGATAAGTGGCAAGGCATCAGACCTACAACGGGTCGAAAATAATGCCGCGTGCGCACGGATGACAACATCAAAGTGTCTGCAAAGAGTTGAACTCGGGGCTGAGGGCTGTCGAAGGGCCTGAGTACATTCTGGACCTGAGGTTCGAGACCCGGTTGTGTCATAGAGCCCTCCCTAAGCTCGCGAAAGGAAGTCCACTGAGCCAATTCCCAGACCGGAAAGGTTGCCCTGCGTTGCTGTCCGCACACAATGGAGTGCAGCCGAGCTCTTTTTATCTGTGGCTGCTATAGAGCTGAAAACCCCTGACTTGCTGAGAACTCCCTAAACCCTAAACCCTAAACCTTAAACCCTAAACCAAGCGGCCGATCGCCGCCCATGAGCCGAGACGTTGCATCTTGCAGCGCCTTTCACTCTGCTGATATCGACCGACGGCACTGACCCCAAAAAACGAAGAAGAGATTGCAAGGTGTCGACAAAAAAGTTGGAAGGCACGATCTGAAGAGCGGACACCTTTTGAAGAACTTTGAAATTCAGCTCGTCTAGCTTTCGCGTCGACAATCCTAAAGCTTCCTCATTTTCTCATGCCTGGCCCCGGGACTCTACAATGGTATACACCTGCGAGCTGCCCTTACGCCCTAGTAATAATAGTAATAATAGTGAACCCCAAACCCCTCAACCCTCTCGAAACCCTAGACCCGTAAGCCCCTGAACCCTAAACCCTGAACCCTTACACCCTAAACCTTGAAATACCTAAACCCCTAAACCCTAAACCCCGAAACCCCGAAACCCTGAATCCCGAAGCCCTTAAACGCCTAAACCCCCAAACCCTAAACCCTGCTAAAGGGAACCCTAAACCCCTAAACCCTAAAACCCCCAAACCGTGCCTCCAAAGAGGCAGGGCGGGCAGCGGCCACGTCGCTGGGAGGGGGCCTCGGACTCTCTCATGCTTTAGGGGTTCAGGGTTGGCTTAGGCTTCTTTTTTGGAGGGTGGGGGGTATAGTTTAGGGTTTAGGGTTTAGGTTTTTTTTTGGAGAGGGGGGGGTAGGGTTTAGGGTTTAGGGAGTTTGATAATTAAGGGTGTAGGATTGATGGATCCTGCTGGCCCGACCCCATTCCGCAGCATCTCTGCATGCAGACACTCTGAAAGTGTATGCTCTCTGTGTATGTGCTTGTGTGTGTGTGTGCACATGTGTGTATATATATATAATTATATAATGTATCTATATTATATCATGGAAGTGCGTGTGTCTTGCAGGTCGTGCTTTCACTGTACCCCACATTGTCACCCACATTGTCAAGCTCTGGATTCGATGATGAAGATGGATGGTTGAAGGTGTCCTGCAAGTTTCCCGCGTAGAGGAGCTTGATCGAGACTGCGGTAACATCCGATTTAAGCACTGATACATGCATCTGCCCCTCCTTTTTCAAAGAACAGGCGCATCATCTACCTTCAGAAAGATGTCCTTGCAGCTCGCACCCCCAAAAAGACTTCGGTTTGATTGTGGGGATTTCTCTTCAAGCCCTGCTGGCATGCCAGGAACCTAGATCAATCTCCCAAACTCGTATGCAACTAACATGCACGCTCACGAGACACAAGGCTGGCAAGAGGTCAGAGAGTTATAGGCCGGTTCAGAGGAGAGCTTGTTCACATCACATAGTTCAGCTCCGCGATGCTGGGTTGCAATAGTGTCGTGTTGAAATCAACTGCAGGTCAAAGGGGGGCAAGCTAAAGTTGGAGTAGGTAAAAGTTGAGGTCGGGATGCACTGGGGTCTTCTGTAGTCCCCCTTTACCCCACTCACCCGCGCAAAGGTGGCCCCAGCCCTAAACAGTGACACTGCAGAGTGAGTTCTCTGAATTAGGGCCCCTTTTCGGTCCCCAAAATAGTACGACGCCCTGATAGAAAGGACCCTTAAAGGGATCCTAACTACCCATCTATCTACATCTGCCTGTTATGGAGATCATGGCCTCGCAAAGGATGTGCTAAAGCCCGGCTCAAAAAAAACCCTCAAGTGCCGGCCAGCTGCATTGGCGGGCGTCCACCTGAGGCACTCAGGGTTTAGGGTTCCTTTGAAGGAACGATCAGGGCTCCTAAAAGGGATCTATAAGGGTACTGTAGGGGTTTAGGGTTTAGGAGCTTTGCTTCTAAGGGCTCTTGGGCATGCGGCCCGGGCTTTACAGAGACCGCTTGGAGTAGGAGAATCAAAGAGATGGCAATCCTCTTAGCCTCTCAGGACCAGCAATGCACACGCGGACTTCTCTAGCACCCGAAACGCCCCTTTCTTAAAATCTGAGAGCTCGCACCTGATGCCTGCACCGGCTGTGGTGGCGGCAGGGGTGGCTGCGGCGGCTGGGGTGCCGCGCCGCTTTCCTGTACCTGGGCACCGAGGCCCCAACTCACGACTACCAGAGCCGGGTCTGTCTCTTTAGCGGTGATGCTTTTGAATGGCCCTGCTGCAGCCCAATTGTAGTGTCAGGGTCTCCTACAGAGGAAGGCGGTCCGGTGTCTGACTGACTGTTGCGGCTAGGGTCGCGGCCATGCCCAAGAGATTTTGAGTAGCTTCATCCTGGCAGGAAGTGTAGGCTTCGCATTCGGGTTTCGGCGTCTAGGGCCCCAGGGTAAGCTTTCCTCAGCCAATCGATCGGTCCTGCGCTCGTTGAAGCACGGTGCCGAAAGAAGTCATGTGATGGCATGCATGAATTTCAGCTTACAATGCCAGCCTTCCTCTCCTGACTTGCTTGATGCAGGCAGTTCATGTTTTCCTGCTCACGGCTGCAAACATCTACCCAAAGTCTAAAACCCTATATATGGGATGTCTGACAACCTCGTCTAGCTGATCTAGCTCAGGAGCCTCCAAGCTTTGACGGTCGATGATCAAGCTTAGACTGAGTGGACGCCAGCGGGCTGCCGGCTCTTGCGAGTAGGAGCCCTGCTCTCCCGGTTTCTCAGATGCCTCCACTGTACACAGAGCTAGGGAAGTGAGACCTGGGCAAGCTGTACAGAGCATCACGGCCAAGGCCGTGACGCTGTGCCGAAGAGGGTTACTTACTAGCCGCACAGCGTGAGGATGAGAACTCATTCCAAGAACTCACCAGATGCTTCAACGGGCTCTTACCAGCTGTAGTCCCACCAAGCCGACCAGGCCCATCCAGCGTCGTAGTACACCAGCCAGCTCCAGAGCACCGCATTCTGAAACTCGAGGTGCCTGTAGGCGCTGTAGGTTGCCTCTTGGAGCTCCTCCAAGGATGGGCCCTGACAAGGCATTTCAGGCTGTTGCTTGGGCCTCCACTGGCATTTCGAAGTACGAGCTCTTCTCCTGGGTCTCAGGGCCTTGCCCTCTTGGAACCGGTGGAGCAGGGGGCACATCTGATCGGGCCCCTCTAAGCCCTCTGCTGCCACAGAGTCCCTTCTTGAGCCTGGTCCGGTCCAGTGCCGTGAACCGTGCCTCACAGCCCATAGCACCGTCTCCGCAAGGAACTCCTCGGAGTAGGATGTGCCCATCATATCCAGGATATCCCGCACTGCTGCCTGCTGCAGAGAACAGCACAGCTGGTTGATCTCCTCATGTGCCTTCGGCAAGTGGCCGCAGTTCCGGTCGAAGGCTGCCATCATATCTTCGAGTGAGGAGCCCTTTGGTCGACCAACTTTACTAATGTAGGAGGCTATGAAACAGAGCACTTTACATGCATCTGGGGCGAACATGTCCCATTGTGCAATGATGCCTGCAGCTGTCCCATCCGAGGATGCATCGAAGACGTAGCCTCCGCACTCCTGGCGCCAAACCTGCCGTCGCATAGCTTCGGGAACAACCACTGCCTGCAAATCGCCCCACTTCAGATCGTCGACGATGAGCATGCAGTGCAAAAGATCGCCCAAAGTAGGGGTCACATGACGGAGTCGGGACTCCGGATGATGCAGAAACAATCGCAAGCGACGGTGAGCGACCTGCTGCAGCTCAGGCCACTCATACGCCAACTGCAGCAGCAACCTGTGAGCGTCTCCATACATCTGTACAGCACGTTCAGTCACTTCTCCGAGACTCAGAGAGACAGCAGCCTGGGTTAGCAACGAACAGCATACTGACAGAGCTGTCTCGGGGAAGGCTTTACAAGGACCACCGGATAGGGCCACGACAGCCGACTCAATGTATGGCCTCGCCCGTGCCCAGTGCTTTCCGTCGACGAAGAGTGGGAGCCAAGCATTTAGTTGGCCACGGGAAGATGACACCAGGGCAGCTTCCCTTCCCTGATCTTTCATCGCTTGCAGCCCCGTGTTGAAAGCATGCACGTCCAGGTAATCCATGCTGAAGGAGACATCGTGCGGGAGCCTGAAGCGGACTTGACGGCGTGTTCGACGGTGCACAAACAGGCCAAGGCCAAGCACAGTGTCCTCCTCATGAGCCGATGCCAGAGAGATGTAGCAGACACGTTCTGACTCTGAGTCCACGTAAGAATCCTCCGAAGAGTCATCTTGCTCGCTGGCGCCCAAAGACACACGACGCGCAACGACAGCGGGATGGAATGCTGCAGCATCCTTTCTTCCGTGCCTGCGTCCTCGTGGGAGACGCTGCATAGCGCAATACCCGCCAGTAGATCTTTCAGACGAAACTGAGCCGCTTAATGCTACGTTAAACGCTCACATGGACTGCACAACTTTCGGATATGCTCCTGTGACAAGGTGCCGGCTACGTAGCTAGGCCTGACAGCTGCAATTTATCACCAAGATCTTGTAGCAAGCCTCACGACTCCCCTCAAAGAAGCGAACAAGTGATGCCTGCTGCAGAAAAATTGTTTCGAAGCCCGTGCCGCAAAAAAAGGGAAGCCGTGACGAAGCCGAGAGTACCGCAGCTTCTGCTGTTTGTACGTCGTCATAGTCTTCACACCCGGAACTCGTCCGCAGTCGCAAGAAGTTGAATAAAATGAGGCTATGCGAGGTGACTCGAGCGACAGGTCAAGTAACCACCCTGGCATGCACAAGCCCTTGACTGTGTCTCTTATTGGGCTGTCAGGCCCAGTCCATGGTCTGATGGCTTGCGGAGGTAGGATTCCGCCGCTTGGGCAAATGCTGCCTGATAGCCTCGAAGCCCGGAGACGCAAGCCCCGAATCCAGAAAAACGTGCCCAGCGCCCGAACCGAAGGCATGTCAACCCGAAAGATTTGGCGGATGGCACGGACAAAGGGCACTTCTTTTGATAGCAGAGCTCCCTGCAACAGTCTTTACAGCTCCTGGCACAGTTCGCCGAGGAGATACCTGGGACCTAGAACTTCGGGGCTCGAGCTTGCACTTGAGCACACCACTTTGTGAAGGCTGCCTCACCCATTGCTGAGGCGTTCGAGGGAACCGGCCAAGACTCAACACCTCGGAGGCTTGTAAGGCGGGCTTTCCTTTTGCACCGGAGCCGCTTCAGGAGCCCAAATACTTCAGAAAAAAGAACCTAGCCGTGGGATGTTGTGGGAATCCAGTTCCATGCCCAACCTTGTGGCAGATACTGCTCCATTGCAGCAAGATTGCAACCAACCAATCCGTTGAGCCTCTGAACTCTGAGTAAATGCTGAGGTGCAGCTGCACACATCCTAGCGGTGATGCACCGTGCTTTCAAAGGGGCAGTAGCTGCGGCGACCTTTGTCCGCGCGTACCATCTCCTCAAGTGCAGACCAGCCGTCGGGGGAACCCTATAATTACGGACCTCGAACTTGGATGGATGGCCCTCGAGACCCAGAAAGTTCCGAGCATGATGGGTTCTCTTGCCGAGCAGCTGATCCCGGCTTGTAGCTCTGATGTCCGCACGAGGAAGTTTTCCTCAGAACTAGACGTGTAGACATGGCTCTCAGCGAAAATCATGCGCGTTCATATATCCCAGCATTTCAGAGTCCATGCGACCGAACAAAATGCTTGTTGTGCCTGGGTGCGTCTTCAACAGCCTCGCAATGGTTCCATCGGATGACGGCTTGTAGGCCAACTTCGTCCTGATCATCGTGGACGGAATGGGGGTTGAGGCAAAACAAAGCTCGAGCAATCAACTTCGGGCATCATGTGGGCCTTTCAAAAATGAGGGACCCTGATGTAGAACCCTGAAGGATCGGATCCTGACAAAAAGGGTTGAAACATCGTGGAATGGAACAACCCCGCACCCATCAGTCCCGCAAGATGTGAGCATCAAGCAGAACCTAAACCCTGAACCCTGAACCTCTAGCCTGTAGGAGCGCAAAAGCTCATACATGTAGCAGATCCGAACATCACTGCTCGTAGCCCAGTCGTAGACAGACCTCAGCTCTTCCAAGATCTTCCAATCTGATGCAAAAAGCGGCTTTGATAGTTCGAATAGGGTTTCAGGTTCAGGGTTTAGGGTTTGGGGTTTAGGGTTTCAAAACAGGGTTTGGGGTTCATTATGCTATCAAAAAGTAAGGAACCCCCAAAGACCTATTCTAACTATCAAGGCCCCTACATTACTCTGCAAAGGTGCTTCCTGCAGGCTGCACAAAAGGGCACTACTTAAGGGAAACAGGAGATCAGGCTCACATTGGTGCTGATGGCTACGACTGCCCCCATATTTGGGGTTTACCCGGGTTTTAGGGTTTAGGGTTTGGGGTTTAGGGTTTAGGGTTTGGGGTTTAGGGTTTAGGGTTTGGGGTTTAGGGTTTAGGGTTTGGGGTTTAGGGTTATGCTAATTACACGTTACACGATCACTTCTTATTTACGGTCAAGCAAAAGCTCGAGGCTTTGTTCCAACTTCTGTGACCCAGGGCGGCTTCGGGATCGGACTGAAGGGCGGAATGTCGGACGCGGGCGAGGAGTTGCGGCTAAGACTCCTTCTGAAAGTGCTTCCAGCCAAATCTCATGCCGGTCAACTCAACTCAAGTCAATCTAAGCATAAACTACATTGCTGGGCTTTGCTGCTTTCGGACACTTGCTGAATAAGGGATCCTTACTGACTAGGGGAGAGTGTTCTATAGATGGTAAAGTGTTGCTTTTCTGGTACAAGTGGCTGTGCACGTGGAGGTAGAGCGGCGAGCTCTCTCCAAGAAGCTTGCATGTTTCCTTGGATAACTAGCAGTCAGGTCACGCTTCAAAGCGGGAGGTGTCGAGCGGAACGTCAGACTCAAATGCCTGCTCACATGTCCATGTCCGTGGACGCTCGAATTCTGAAGCTGCAGTCGCGTGTCGTATCTCTTCCACGAAAGCCTTTTCGTGCACGAGCTTGACATGCACGTTGTCCTCCACTGACGGCGCTAATCACGGTCAGAGAATCTCCCAGACATCAGGTCTGAAGCTCAGGGAACTTAAGCTCATCGAAGCTCCAACCCTCTCCTGCAGGGCTGCATAAATCGCTTGGCTCACGCCATGCCGACCGTTAGAAAACCTCAGAGGTGGAGGGGGGCCTCCAGCTTCAGCATGAGACTGAGGCCTGAGGCCTAGGATTTCAACTCAGAGACGGGCATGGCCACCACGGAGTTGGAGGCCGCAAACGGATAGACGCGCCCTGTGTATGTGCACTTCGGAGCCGATGTCAGCAAGAAGCGATACCTGAGAAGAGCAGGAACTGAAGATCACCTACACCATGTCACCCCCTGACCCCCAGGTACCTACTATATAGGGTACTAGAGCCCCTAGGGCCCTATATAGTAGGTACCTGGGGGGTTAGGGACCTACAGCGGAATGCTTCGGAGGCTTGATGTGGTCTCAAGTCTCGAGCTCCGTCGACGCAAGAAAGCCCTCTTACTCGACTACCTCCCCCCCCACCCTCCTGCGGACCCTACAGCTGCGAGGCCTCCAATGGGGCTTTTGAATGGATCCAAGGTGCCTCATTTGCTCCAGCCAGGACACTCGGTGTGCTTTCAGCCTCCAGTGGTCGGCTCGCGGTTACAAGTCATACTGCCAATGGTCATACCAGCAATGGCAACACTACAGCGGGTCATTGCTACTTTACTGTCCATTGCCGCAAAGCAAACTTGCACTGCGTCGTTTGATGTTTGTTCTAAGGGGGCAGCTCTCAAAAATACTGCGCTGACAGGTGAAGGGCGCACATGCTCTGTCTGTAACATGTTCGATCTATGTACCGACCCATCGAAACCACTAGCATTCATCCATGGCACTTTTTGACTTCGCGGCACAGATCCTTAGCTGCGCCGAAATCGCCCACCCAACCAGTTCCAGCAATGCTAGAGGTCGACGAACAGCCTACAGTTTCGCCCATGTCAGGTCGAGGTGCCTGTGGCTCCTTATCACTGCAGTCGAGCGTGCTCAGGGATGCATTCAGCACATCCGGATGCCTTGGCGAGATTGCTCAACGGAGTTGAACAGGATCTTCTGGGCTGTCAACATCCCGCTGTGCAAGCGATTGCACGCCTCTTACTTTTGTACATCCACTCGGCTTAGAACCCACAGTGGAGCGATGGGAGGGCCACTGTTTGCTGTTTCTGCTGGCAGAATTGCGATACTTGTACCGGCAGCTTTTCTTGCACCAAACCCACCTGTCAGGTAGCCTGAAAGCATCTGTGATGTCAGGCGAACACTGCAAAAGATGGGCTATGCAAAAGCCCTCAGCATCATGCGAAGTTGCTGGAGCGAGGCCTTGGGCATTAAGATCCGCGGGCTCCTCCTTAGGCTGCGACGTTCGGTGCGTTGGGATGCAAACTTGGGATGTTTTTTCGGTTGAAACCATGGCTCTGGTGGCAAGTTGTCGGCCCCAGCCCCATTTTCAAGGTCAACTTGCAAACGTTGTCGGTGTGCCGCGAAGGACTCCCAACAGTCAAGACGCAAGCAACAGTACGGTCCGTGCTGTTGATGTGCTAGCCGAAAGAACGTTGCACCACTAGCAGGAAAAGATCCTGGTCCTGGGCTGAAGAAAGTCCAGAAAGGATGGCATCCCATGCAGCAGCACTGCACTGGTGGCACGAAGCACGCTCTCCTTCAATTCGGCCTTTTTCTTCCGGGTTACCTTTGAACAAGCAAGCATGCCAAAATGGGAGAGCTCAACGAAGCAGAGTTTCTTGCCGACCAGTCATTCACAACGACAGGGCAAACTGAAGGGTATTCAGTATATGGAACATGTGGAACCGTGCAACCCCTCGAAACTCTTGGGAAACCTGCGCTCGGTCTGAGCACCCCCTGCAAGCAAGCCAAAAGGAGCCGCCCTCTCAATGTCAAGAAGAACGCTCAGCCTGGAACGTGTGGCTGATGATGCCGCAGAGCCGTAACCCTAAGTCCTAAAGTCGAAACGCCGAATCCAAAGAAAGAAAGTGGCCGCGGAGTGGGGAGCAGTCTTCCATCGGCAGGATACTAGGTAGGGAACCTTGGTGACAACGTAAAAACTATCCAGAGTAAAATGTGAAACCTTGCAGTGGTTGCTGTCAACCCATACACTGCCAATGTCTGTCGACACCGCCGTCTCAAAGCGAACCTGACTCCGCGGTCAAGCAGCTTCCAGTAGCCGCACCTCCTCGCGGTCAGAGACCGAGAGAGAGGGAGAGAGAGAGAGAGAGAGGGCGAGCATTGAGCCTACCGCTGCACCCAGGAACCGAAAAGTCGCAGCCAATCGAGGCTTCGTCGCACAACTGTGCAACGTGGCGCCTGTCCGAATTGTGTCGAAAGAGGGACGGTTGTAGTGTCGTCCATAATGAGGGGGACGATGTTGGTGACATGGTGAAGGCGATGACACTCATGGTGCTGATAATGGTAGTTATGATGAGGAACAGATAGGAGGAGGACGTCATTCTTCTGCCTCATGCTTCCGCTGCTCCGCTTCTCTCTCAAGACTACATCGGCGTCAGTGCGACCGTCCGGTAGTAGGTTGGCATGGGCTTACTGTGCTGCTGCCACGCGCCTGCCAGCATTCCAATCGTTGCTTCTGCTGTACATTGGCCTTTGCTCATGGCTGATCCGTCTTGCCTGTTATCGCATCCAATCAAACGTTCGAAGGTCCAAGTCGTGGATCTCAGCTTGACTTAAAGACAGACGAAACAGTTCACAGCTCAAAACCCCAACCATGCGTCTCTGTCCTGGCAGGCCAGGGGGCGCCACGCCAGAAGCCAAGATTTATCTTCCTCAACCGAGAGCAGGAGAAGCTTTGGATTTTGGTTGTGGCTAGGCATGGACAGGGCTAAGACGGTCAGGGCTTTTAGGAGAAATGCTTCAGGCTGTCAGCATGTTCTGGGATGAGGCCATGGTGCGTACTTCCATCTGAATCTCAAGTTCGCCGTGCGAAGGCAATGCAGACCCTCAAAACTTAACAAAAGAATACGTGCACCTCTATCTACAGATTTGAACACCTGCGCAAATCGGCTGTGCACAAGCACAAATGATGCCGCCGCAGATTCTGCTCGTAGGGTATGTCAGACTTTCGCAGGTCATCCCCCGCGCCTGGAAGGTAAGATCTTGTACAGGGCTGCAGCACTTGACGATTTCGATGCTGCTCGCACAAGGACGAGGGAAAGGGAAGGAGGGAACGATGGAGTCGTGCAGACTGACAAGTAAATTTACAGTGCACCATCCCATTCCTATTACCTCTCCGACTGCCCCAAGACTAAAGGTGTTGCTGTTCAAACCGTGCATCTGAGAGGCGCAGTAAGCTGGTTCCTCGCACGCCAGGACCCAGTGCCACATCGCAGAACAAAGGCCCGCTGGAGACGGAGAAGACGAAACGATCCTCCGAGATGGGAACATGCTTCGGGATCAGCAGATGCCTAATGACGTAACGCTGCCTTGAGGACCTCGGCTCCCTGCACAGTTGGAAGGTCATCAGCTTGGACCCCCCATTCTGGTGTGCCGCGGACAGCCTTGTCTTCGACATTCTGCGACCATATCCAGCAGAAGCCGAAAAGACCTTGCCCTGGTTCCCCAGCAGTCCTTGTGGCCGCAAACTTTGTCGGCACTTTTCTCCACCATTGGCACGTCAGAGGTGTGTATGACGAACCTGGGCCCATGCCGGCCCCAGAGACCCCCCGCAGTGAAAGCGTTGCGATGTAACATCAGCTGTCAGTCAGCCTATAAGTACTCTGGACTGCTAAACCCAATCAAGGACCCTAGCGGCTTTCCAGGGTTTCATCTGCTTCATCAAAAGGAATGCACGACCAACCACGACGGCTGTCCTTGGCCTAGGCGCTCCACGTCGAGCTGCACCTGCGCAGTAAGTTCCTTGACAGTGGCAGAGGGCAACACGAAGGCAGGCCCTACCGGTCCTGTAATAAATTTCACCTTCGGTATGTCGTCCTACAAGCAACAAAGACCGGCAACAGCTCATTCGTGCGATGTGGTAGAGAATGTCGCAGCTCAATGTGAGCGTCTTGTTTTCCAACATGCTAGCTCTTGTGCCTGACGCTGCGCACCATGCCCTGACATGCCATGCTTTGGTGTGACAGACCAAACGATCCAAGTGTCTGCCAGCAAGTCCAGCACTTCGAACCAAACCACTGAATCCTTGCTGCATCGAAACAACTACCGAGATCATGTCAGCCAGACTGGCCCTTGCAGGGGTCTTCTACGAGCACTTTGGAATATGGATGCTGAACGATCCTGCCATCAGGCATGCAAAACTCTGCTATTCAGCTGAGCGTCACGCATGCGCTCCGGTCTTTCCCGGTACACCAAATAAACTCGTCCTCCGAAGCTCCCCAGCAAGGCTTCCTTCTTGTCGTCTTCTGTGAAGGAGGTCTCCAGATCGACCTGGCCTTGCCGGACCTCCTTGTCGCGCCAGTTGGACATCCCATACCTGCAACTTGCAACCAGTGCTTCAAAGGACTCGGAGCTTTGGTTTGTTGTTAAAGATTTAGTTTAGGGCTGAGGAATTGAATGACTAGTGATAGTTTCCCGTTATACAGGAGCAACCACTCCGAGATGCCTGATCATGTTGAACATCTCGCAGGGGGGCTCCAGAAACTCCGCGGCACATTTTCCCGGCCGAGTTCGCGCCGGATCCAAGGGAGTCGCACTGGGCACCATCGACGGACTCGTAGAACTCCTTGGGTCTAAGAGAAGCCTGGCAGAACCTCATATAACCTATAACCCTTTAGAATTTATAATAGATTTCTCACATTCAAAAGGCCCCTTTATTTAAAAGAACAGGCCCAGAAACGTCTCTGAGAGGGACGATGGAAGCGCTGCGGCCGACGTGTCGATTTCGGCAGCAGAGGTGGTCGGGGCTTCCGATGCCTCTGGAGATCGGATGCGGGCAAATGTGCACAGGTTCATTATTGTTAAGAAGTGTTGTTGGGGTTGTGCGAGGTACGGCATTGCCATGTCATGGAGTAGCAAAAAGCATGTACTGGTATGCTATGTATGCTTCGAGGCATGTGTAAGGCATTCACTTGCCGTATCTACTTACTTATTCTTAGATCGACATACAATTTACATAAAGGCCTCTCAGAATAGAATAGGATTTCGGTGTATATGCTCGTACAGAAGTAAAAAGGGACGATAAGGGGATGCCATCATCAATAATTCCTTAAACCTGAATAACGTAGACAAACTGCAAAACCTTATTATACTATCGCAAAACCCCATGTTCGTCAGTAGCTCTTCCGATCATTGTCCAACCCCTTTACCGAAGCCCTATCGCTTCAGCGCCCTTAAAGTCATAACACAAACCGTATAGTTTTAATAATCCCTTGGAGTTGTAGCATGATAAAAAAAACTAGAAACTACTTCCTAAGAGCACCCTAAACCCTAAACCCTAAACCCCAAAACCCTAAACCCTAAACCCCAAAACCCTAAACCCTAAACCCCAAAACCCTAAACCCTAAACCCTGAATTGCAGATCTCAGGCCGCGGAACCTCTGAGGCACCCGGCTCGACCGCCTCGGAAGCCTCGGCCTGCACGGCGAGTTTGGCAGCTATCCTCGGCTGTTCGAAGGGTTCAGTCGTAGGGAGGACTGACTTTCCGGTAGGGTTTAGGGTTTAGGGTTTAGGGTTTAGGGTTTAGGGTTTGAAATCCGGGACACCAATCTGAGTGTAGGGATTAGACTTCTTTTGCAAAGTCTTTTGGAGTGTTTCGGTATTTCTCGGAGGGGGGGGAAACTGCGTCGGAAGCGGGAAAAAGCATGCTTAGAAAAGAGAGACCCTAAACCCTAAAAGCCCTAAACCCTAAAAGCCCTAAGCCCAAAAAACCCCAAAAACCCTAACTCCCTATAGACCCCAAAAAGCCCTAAAAGCCCCAGTCCCCCGAGTCCCCGAAAATCCTGCGACTCACCGGCCCGGCATCTGCTGCAGGTGGAGGGATGCCGTCGAATTCGGCAGACCATGCCTCGGGGCCGGCTTCCTACACTTTGAGGGTCTAGACTAGTTTAGAAAGTAGGGTTGAGAAAGTTTAGGGTTTAGGGTTGAGGGTCTTGATTCAACAGATCGGGCAGCCTAAAATAGTTAAAATCCCCGTCGCTTGCCAACCAACCTGGATTAACGAATTTGCGAGTCTTGAAAGTTTAGCAATTAGGGTTTAGAAAGTTTAGAATGTTTAGTATTTAGGGTTTATAGGGCTTTGAAAGTAAAGTTTTAGACTTAGGGTTCGGAAAGTTTAGGAATTAGGATTTAGGGTCGAGGAAATTTAGTATTTAGGGTTTAGTAAGGGCTTAGATATAAGGTTTAGAAAGTTTAAGATTCAGGGTTTAGGGTATAGGATTCTGGGTTGGGTTTCGGGGTCGTTTACCCTCAGCACCCTCCTTTCTATGTGATCCGAGATCAGCCCAAGGCTCCAGGCTACAAGGCCGAGGGCCAGCAGGCAGACCCCGAAGCGTGCAGCGGCAGCGCATCGGACCATGGGTTGGAGTCGGAGAGTACATGTGGATGTGGGGTGACATCTGCTGGGGATGTGGGGGGGTGATGTAGAATGCGTGTACGGGCTTCCTCTTCTGACTCTTCTTCATGGCCTCATGAGACTGACTCCATCGCCTTACTTCATCCGACCAATTGAAGCGCCTTACTTGCCATCTTTGGACAGCGGCCGACAACGTCCTCTCAGCATACGGCGGCGGCAATAGAGCTTATTGTGCTGAGGTTGAGGGTTTAGCTTCGGGCTCTTCTCTGCCTCACTTCCGTCACCTTGGTGCTTCTCGTGGTCGGTACATTCGGCATCCCGCATCGTTTCTTTGGCCAGCCCGTCTGACTGATACAGCAGATGCGATGGGCTGAGCAGGAACATCGACGTGCAATATGGATTTCTCCACGGTTGAATCTGCCCAGGGAACGACATTCCTCATCATTCCTCCCAACAGACACGAGCAAAGGTGCTGTTTTGCTTCAGGTCTTCGAGAAGTTTCTCCAACAGGCTGCCATTTCGCCGCCGACCGCTGCACTCTGCATGTCTTTAGGCTCAACTGGCCCTTCTGACTAAAACGACACCACACAAGCCGAATTGAAGAGGTGGTCCAGCTTCGGTCGCTGAGCATCAGGCTTCTCAGAACAAAACTTCTGATCTCTCTTCCCAGCAGTAGCTTTTTTCTTGAGCGGCACACAAGTGCTGACATGTTGGATAGGTGAAGCTGCAAACAGCTCAATTCCGTCGCCGGAGACAGGGCGACGTCCACAGACACCATGCGTAGTGATTTCAGGTACAGAAACTTGATAAAGGCCGAGCAATATCAAAAGAGACCGTCGTGCACAGGAAGCACCACCCAGAATTGAGACCCATCGAGTCCTGCTGGTTCCGACTCGAGCCTGCACCCCCAAGGCAGCATCCTCATGCTTGCCGGCTATTTCCCGAAGACAACAGAAGCAACAAAGGTCGCTTTCTCTGCTCCAGCTCGGGATGCAGTGCATCTTCAACTCGAGATCCTTACCCTGGAGGTTTGCTTTGTCGCTCAGCTTCAGAGCCTCATGCTCGTCCTCAAAGCCCCGCACCTTTACCACCGCCGACAGCCACGACTCAAGGATACACTGCCGGTCATCGAAGTTCTTCGGAAGCAACTCCGGCGCCTGCTGGCTCTGGTCAAGCCGCAGCAAGTCCTCCTGCGATGCCCTCTGGAAGCTGCAAATACTGACAAAACCTGACAGGGCTCCGAAACCCCAAACCCTAAGCCCTACACCTAAAACCCCAAAAACTGAACCCTAAAACCACGACACCATGCACCTTCAACTTCTTGAAGAAAGACCCGCCTGATGGCTGGCAAAACCCCTCATAGTCCCTAAGAAGTTTAAGAATACTATACCCCCAAAACCTGATCTTAACTCTTAAAGCCCCCAAAACCCTAAATCCCTCACAGAGACGTCATGGTACCTACACAGCAACCCTTTGACGGCCTGCAGCTGTTGACTTGAGGCGTATGCTCCTCGACGCCCATGTTGGCCAAGAGCTTTGCCCCCTCATGGGCGCTTCGATGCAGTCTCGCCTTTTATGCAGTCTCGGCGCCCGCGAATCTGTGTCCCGCTGAGTCCAACGTCCAAACGCCCATTCTCAGCTGCGATGTGCAAAGGGGTGGCGCCTCTCTGATGGGCCCTGTCCTTGTCCACATTGGCCAAAGCTGGACAACCTCCAAACGCCCTGGCGCAGCTGCGATGTACAAGCCATCATGCATGGCCTTGTCCCTGTCCGCATTGGCTTCCAGCAAAAGGCGGACAACCTCTAAACGCCCTGGCGCAGCTGCGATGTACAAGGGGGTGGCGCCATCATGCATGGCCTTGTCCCTGTCCGCATTGGCTTCCAGCAAAAAGCGGACAACCTCCAAACGCCCTGGCGCAGCTGCGATGTACAAACGACTTGATTCTGCCTGGTAGTTCTTGCAACAAAACCCAACGAAATCGAAGATGGTGTCGAAGTAGGAACATCCCAAGTGTGCGCATCTGCACCAGAAGCTCTGCGATGCAGACGGCTGTGAACAAGGCTCGGCCAGGTTGGGACGCCAACGTCCGCACGGGGGCCGGCCATCTTCCCAGAACCACTTCATCGCCTTTCCGATACCAAGCGGCCAGGGATACTGTACGCGGTCGTCCAAGCTCGACCGTTAGGAGACCGCAGGGAAGAAGGAGCTCTCACTCGGCAGCTCCACCGCTCTGCCGGCTTTGCCTCTTACTACTTGGACCGCTTGGAGCTACGGAACTCTGCGAGTCAGCTTCGCCGCCTGCTTCGCTGTGGTCACCGTCACCGCCTACTTCACTGTGGTCGCTTTCTTTGCCTTCGTCTGACTGCGAATCCGGCTGCATGGCCTCAACAGCCCCAGCTGCACGCGTGTACACGCCAGCTGCAAAGTTCATGACCTTGTCCAAAGCATCTTCCTCATCGATGTCGTACTCCGGAATATCGTCCCAGTTGATTGCCCCATCCTTGCCTGCCTTGGACTTCCTGCGCTTGGCGTCTACGTAGGCAGGCCTCTTCTCCTCCTTGTCGGAACCAGCGACAGAGCCCACCGAAGCCAGGGCACTGACCTCTGCAATTTGAGCTTCGGCCATTCCCGGCACACTTGCAGATGCTCTCGGCGTGCTCTCAACGCTGGCTCCGGTCCGCAGCTCGGAGGGCCCAAGGGAATCCGAAAGTTGCCGCAGAGCTGAGCTCCAGTCTCCTGCTACTCTCCAGCAGCGGCCCTTCCAGATTTCAGGCACTCGCCCGGAGACTCCAAGGCCTCGGAGACTGCCGAGAAAGCGGGATTACAGGAGGTTCTCTGGCTCATGCCATGTTCGACTTCATAACCTTCCTGTAGTCTCCATTGTAGTTCCTTTTTTTGGTCTAACCAATTATATATTAAGGATTTTATAAGGCATAACCAAAAAGGAACTACAATGGAGACTATAGGTTCCTCGCACGGAGCCGGCTTCTGACTCTGTCAACAACAGAGCTTTCTGCGTTCTAGGCGAGGGATCGAGGAGGCTTCTCTAGCTCAGCTCTCACTTGTGTTGGACTCTCTAAGACTCTGGAAGTCAAGTGCCATGTAGCTTGTGCTGTGGAACGTTCACGACCTAGATCTGCACAAACCCTCCAAGAAATCGACAAAAACTGGCTATATGAACTAAGCCTATATACACACCCTACACGCCACATCAGAACTCAGCAGTAACCCTTACACTGAGCCTATAAATGAGCCCCGTAACACCCCATCTTCAGCTCATCATCTGCCAGGCTGCGCAGAAGCGTGGCGCAAGGGAAGTCTGCTGGATCCAAGAGCTTGGCAGGACTCTTCCAGGTCCCCACCTTCCACTCTAGAGGCCTTCATATATGATACCAATATTATAGAATAAGGAACCCAATTCCAGCTTGTCTGGTTTTAAGGCCTGTAGGGCTCACATGCAATAGGGCGCGTTTTAGGCTTTCTGGGGGTTAGGGGTTTAATTAGGGTTCGGGGTCTAGGATTTGGGGTAGGAAATCAGGCACTAGGCATCAAAGATTGGCAAATGTCACTGCCTCCACAACGACCAATCGGCAGCTCCTTGGCAGCGACGACCTGGAGGAAACGGTGGGAAGCGGGCGCATGAAAGTGCAGCAGAACATGAGACATGAAGGATGTTTCTTCAGAGGATGTAGCAGCACACAGACTGCTGTCATGGTTTAGCAACACCTTGAACACTTGGGAACTGCATGGTAGTTCGGAAACCAAGAAATGGTGTGGACCTGCCATCATTATCCTAGCTCACACGAGAGCATGCTCCTTCCCATCTTCAAGACACCGAGACTGACGTATACTGGCTGTATGTTGTCGCGAGCCTCCACTGGAAATAGGCTTGCTCTTGCCTGCCACATGAGGCTGGTTGCTCCGGAACAAGCTCGCGACTAGCTGTAGACCGGGAGCCTGTCGCAGCGCCAGCTTACGAATTTGGAGTCGCTGTGCCTCGAGAAGGCACATGGTGGGCAACTACAGTACATACGCTTAATCTGCACGAAGCGCGACTCCCAGAGCTGCATGATCCGAGCGGAACACCGGCTCTAAGGTCTGCGCATGTCGACATTGGGGCGAGCCAAACATGAGGAATCTGACGGGTCCCTGGGGCAGTTCTTAAGCAGTTTAAGAGACATTGCTTTTGTCGAGCGCAAAAGGAAGAAACTGCCGCACTGGCACCAGACATCGGGCCTCGGCAGCTCACCAGCCACGCGGAGCAGGTCCGGCCCCCTTGGCCTTCGAACCGCGTGCGCAGCCAAGGGCGCTCCCGAGGGGCTGACGATGCCAAAGGAGCCAGCGGCCACCTTGGCAGGCGCTCTGCGGCGCGCTTTCGCCAGATGCTTTTCGAGCACAGCGCAGGAGCGATCATAAAGAACGATGTGCTCCCTTGTGACAGGGTGAGTGTACGTGGCTGATTACGGACGTGGCGCAGCCCGCTTCCACGGAGTCCATTCGTAGGTGCTGCTGTTCTCAACAGCCTCCAGCGTTCGTACCTCCACAGCCTCAGTGCCAAGACTGTGTCGAAAGGTGCAGTATACGTAGCCAACACGTGAACCCCGCAGGAACTTCTGCATCGATGCAGGATGGCATTATCTCACCTCTTACTGCTCCCTATAGGAACCCCCCTCACCTTCCTAGATCCTTCCCGCCTCCCCGGGCTGCAGGTCGAAGTGAGGGGGCAGCTCCACCGGGAGCGTGGCCGGGAGCTCTTGGCCTGAGCTGGCCGGGCTTCCACTTGGAGGTTCATGGGTAGATATAAGTGGGGCCTTTTAGTAGGGTAGCTAGAATTATGACCCATATTAGGGGACTTCTATCCCTACTTATAACTACCCGTGAACCTCCAAGCATGCATCACGGAAACCCAGCGACTCCCTCAAGGCAACAGCATTCAGGGGCCCAGCGAGGCGAAGAAGCAAAGCAGAATCCTTACATTAAATTCTGAGAACAAACAACAAATTCCGCGTAAACACTCGTTCCTGAAGCCCTGACGGGCTCTGAAGCCCCAAAGCGGCCACTAAACAACCAAACAAAAAAAAACTAAACGGCCCTAAGCCGAGCCCATTTCATGGCCCCGGCCTTCCAAGTCGGACTTGGGCTCAGGTCCCGTGCCCAGCAGGGAGGCCAAGGAGGAGGCAGCAGCTGCAAAGCTCTGGCGAGCTCCCTCGGAAGGGCAGAAGGGCTATCCCTAGGGGTCCATGTGCCCAAATAGTAGAACATTGGCCCTAAAGTACCTATATAGGGACTACATTAAGGCCAAAGTACATACTATTTGGGCACATGGACCCTTAGGGTAGAGGAGTCTTCAGAAGAGCCTGGGTCTCTTTGGGGATTTAGAGCCTCAGGGTGGCTTACGGAACTAGGGCTTCCGGCTTCTGCCTCGGCTTCAGGGATGGTCTCCGATGGTGCCCGGATTTCGGTGATTTTGGGTTTGGGGTGTGTGTCCGGGACGCTCCGGGATCCAAGATGAAAGATCGCAGAACTCCCGAACACGGGTGTCCAGGATTCCAATATGTCAACCTGAAGGGAACATGGCTCCGAAAGCCCTTTGGGCTTCCGGTGTTCGGCGTTGAAGTTGGTGGTGTTTTTGAAGTTCGTGGGCATGTGCTTCAGTGCTGCTTCAAGTTTCGTAAGCTCGGGCTGTACGATTCCAGCAGTAGTGGCTTTCTAGCCCTTCTAGCCATCCCGACATTCCGATGTCCGACCTGAAAACCTGGGTCTGCCTCTGACGCTGGAAGAGTATAGACAGAGTAGTATCCCCTAACCCCCCAGGTACCTACTATATAGGGCACTAGAGCCCCTAGGGCCCTCTTCAGTAGGTACCTGGAGGGTTAGGGATCCAGATACGCGAACTGCCTCCGGAACGATGACGTCGAGTTGCAGCGAGCAGCTGCTGGGCCGCCCCGTGGCCCTCGCCTACGCGCCAGATCTTGCTCGTACCGTCGACGCGCTGCCTCCCAGGAGGCAGGATTGAATCGGAAGGAGGCCCCCCCTATTTTGCAATGGGCATAGGGGAAAACTCAGTTACTAGCTTTAAGCTTGTAAGTGCATCCAGCTTGCAGGAATGAGACCGAGCCGCGCAGCTCCCAAACTCTTTCGTCTCCCACCACCCGTGCCCAGTGCCCATCGACGGTCGATGTAATACAGAAGAATCCTGCAAACAAACGCTTGCTTACACAACGTGTGGAGGCTGGCATCATGCAGTATGTAAAGTGAGACAGATGCAAACGAAATAAGCAGGCAACCGTCTGAACTTTGACGTCCACGTCAGACGCAGGCCCGTTCCGGTAGCATCTGCAGCAGCTGCTTCAGCCATTCAGCCCCGGAAAACACGTGCAGCTGAATGTACAAACTTCCTTGTTGCACCTGCTCATGTTGGCATGAAGCCCCCCAAAAGTTGCCCTAAACCCTAAACCCTGAACATCTCTAGACTCTAAACACTCGGAATTAGTTCGCCTTGCTTCATCGACCGGCCCCAGCTTGCAAGGGAGCGGCAGCCCTCCTCAGACACCGCAGAAGGACTTGAGGAGTGTCTTTGAAGCAGAAGAGGATCCTAACTTAGGGCAAGCCTTCTGGGTGAGGAGGCTTGAGATCTTTCTCGCCGTTGCTACCTGGTGAAGGCATGACTGCACGCCTGGCATCGTCCGGCTGCATCTCCAAGTATCGCCGGCTCCAGAAGCCCCAAAATGCCCAAGCAAGACCCGGATCACCTGGTCGGGTGCGACAGAGCGGTTGGGCATGAACATCTGACGAGTTCTGTCTCCTCCGGCTTTGGGCCTCGTGCGCGAGAGCTTCTTTGCTTGCCAAGGCACTGTCAAACAAGCTTGCGCTGTCAGCCTGCATGTGCCTGCACTACCGATGTAAAGTCTCAACAGTAACAGTATACATGACAGCTCTGTCCCAGTGGAAGCAGAAGAAGGCGATAACTCAGCAGTCGGCTCTCGCCAGAGCTCCCGCAGCGGGCTGCAAACTCCTTCAGCGGAGAGCTCCGAAGGCAGATCCCTTGGAGGATCATGGGACTTAGTAAGTAGGGTTATAACTAGGGTAACTATACTTATAACCCCAACTAGGGGACTTATAACCTGGCTTAGTTACGGCTGCTTAAGGTTAGTTGGGAGCTTGGTCCTGGCGCTGGGATGCCATACTCCAAGCTGCCTGCCAGCGTGCTGAGCGGCGGTCGCTGGAAGACCCCTGACCAGCAAAAGAAAGGAGACCGCAAGGAAGTCCCCTAATTGGGGTTATAAGTATAGTTACCTTATAGTTATAACCCTACTTACTAAGTCCCATGATCCTTTAAGTGGGATCTTCGTGTCTTTTCCAACTCGTGGCCGAGGCCAGGCCTGCATCATTACCTTCCGGGAGGTGCTCTCCCTCTGGAGCACTTCCGGCGCAGATCAGCAAAGCTTCGGCTTGTCGAATGCTCTCAGCTGCTTGCGCAACCTCCAATTCTGGCTGTTCGGTGTCAGACTCTCTGACTGCCGGACGGGCTGACTGTGCACCTCGCTCACAGGCTCGGCGTGCGTCTGAAGGGAGGCTGGCGTGGGGCGCCGCGGCCCCTTCATGGCAGCATGGCAGCGCCCCGGTAGAATCTAACACGAGCCCAGCAAGCGCGCCAGGGCTGCATTGGCGCCCGGCTTCAATACATCGATTACAATGCATTTTATATGCATTTAACTCCGTGTCGCGAATCAAGGCTGTCAACCGAGGGTAATCCCAGCGTGAGTGCCTCCGCATCGTGAACATCCTGAAAGCGAACCCTTAAAAGCCTTCAAAGATCCTAAACGCGAAGAAGGTCTGAGTCTTGAAGTCTTGGCCTGCTGAAGAAACCCCTCTCTTTCAAGCCAATACTCGCGAAAGAAAACATCTCGAAGCCGTGCTGAAGCCCAGTGTACAGGAGTGGACGCCCCCGCGAGACTCTCTAGAAGCAGCAAACAACATTGATGAAGCGAGGTACAACAGGAGGCGTGAAGCTTCGAGTCAAGCCAAGCCAAATTTTTGACGAGCCTCGTGATCCAAACGTGTAGCTTAAAAGATGCCAGCGCTTCTAAGCACAACAACTGCCTCTCTCTCTCTCTCCCTTTCGCGACTTTGCGAACTCACGCGCCTCCCCCTCTAGGGCAACAGCTAGGTGGCCGGGAGCTGTAACGAGCATAACATTGCGATTCTCAGATGTCCACCCCCTCAAGACCGAGCAGACGGTTGTCGGGATGCTTGTAGATCGTGCCCTTGCACTCACTCCTCGGCCACGTGGCAATAGCTGGCTGCCCCACAAAAGACACGATGCTTTACGAGTCCCCTAGGACGCTCAACTAATTCCTCTTGTAGCCAAGCATTGCAAGAGCACTTACTTCTCTGCGGCTCAAAACTGAACATTCAGGTCAACGCCTCGTGCCGTCCAAGTTTAACAAACAAACTCGACACATTTCCAGTGCATGCAGGCTTCGTTGGTGCCTTATGCCATTTGAAGCCTTCGACAGTAGGGCAAACATGCTTCACCCACCATATCGTCGACTGCCATTCGCGAGGAACCCAAACAGCCCGTACCAGCGGCTGCCTGCCATCACAAAGGCGCCGAAATTTCTAAGTATAGACAATTATAGACATCGACATATTGCAGTATGTTTTAGCACATTTTGCAGTCTACGAAAAGTGAAATGATCACTGGATTCAGTCACTGGATGCCGTGCAAGCTTGCAGATCCACAGCTAAGATTCCCGCGTGTAGTGCGTGAAGCAGCACCTGTAGTCGTCGTCGATCATAGGGTGGCAGTCGTTGCCCGTCTGCTGATACTGTGAGAAACATCTGCATTGTGGCTTTCCTGAGGCAGGGCTGTTCGCAGGCTTGTCGGGCCAGTGATTTGTACTCTTGCACTGGGCACGAGTGCAGAACAGTTGCCGGCCCATGGCTGGCAATACGCGAAGTTTCCGCATTTGTGACCCTCAGCTGCCAGGGCAGTGTGCGACAAAGGAAAGCGGAGGGCAGAACATTAAGCCTAGCCAGCGGACAAGCTGAGCATGCTCGGGATCCAATTGCACTTGGTCCATTAGTGTCCCCATCGATGACCCCATCGGGTTTCAAGACTACTGGTCTCTCTGGATCCTTGGGGTGTCTTACTCACCAGGCATCCCTGTCGCGTTAGGATGTCCTGCTACTGAGGATCTATATTCGGGTCATTTCTTTTCTCAAATTCCAACTTGGGCAAGCTTCTGCGCACACGTCCAACGTGCAGTCGTAGATGTCGCAATACCCCGTGCCGACACCTTATCCGGGTTCAAGCTCTCCCAGCATGAAGTCCATTAAGTCGAACAGTTCTACTCTGTTTTGTTAGGGTGTTCTCCAAAGCGCCCGCGAGTCGCATCGGGTAGCGAATATCGCGACTCACACTTGCTCATGGCCTAAACGCATCAGTCCACACTTCACTTCTCTCATATGTGCGGGCATGCATGCGCATGCATGCTGGCGCATGTGCCGTCGCGTGTGCTACAAGATCCATTACTGCATCACATGTGTGTCCACTAATTAGGCTCTCTTCTTTTGCATTGCATGAGCTACATATCATGAGTTGTGGTCATGCAGAACTGCGAACAACTCTGAGAACGATGCCCGGAAAGAAAGAGCAGGAGAGATAGAGAGGAAAGACATAGCTAGGTAGATAGATAGATAGATAGATAGATAGATAGATAGTTAGATCGTTAGATAGCTAGATAGCAAGAAAGATAGATAGATCGATAGATCGATAGTTAGTTAGATCGTTAGATAGCTAGATAGAGAGAGAGAGAGAGAGAGAGAGAGTCAGATAGAGAGAGACAGAGAGGCAGACAGACAGACAGACAGACAGACAGACAGACAGACAGACAGACAGACAGACAGACAGACAGACAGACAGACAGCCAGCCAGCCAGCGAGCCAGCCAGCCAGCGCGACAGCCAGCCAGCCAGGCCGGCAGACGGGCAGATGGGCAGACAGGCAGACAGGCAGGCAGGAAGACAGACAGGCAGCCAGGCAGGCAGGCAGGCAAGACAGGCAGGCAGGCAGGCAGACAGACAGGCAGACAGGCAGACAGGCAGACAGACAGACAGACAGACAGGCAGACAGACAGACTGCAAGAACAAGTCTAAGGTGGCCGCATCGTGCGCACTGGTCTTCTTTGAGCAATCGGCCTTGACAAAACAACTCAACCATCTCAGATGGGCTTTCAGTTAACTGTAGCAGGCTAGGGACATCATAACATGGGGTTATGCCTCGAGTTCTTGGATCATGCAGAGACATATTCCTACAACTCCGCTCGAAGATTCCGTGTAGATATCACCAAACCCGTTCCCAGGCCCTGCCCGTCAAGGCCTGAAACCATAGAGCCGCATGGCTCGGTGCAACGACGATGCGCCTCAAGGCTGGGGTCAACAGCCACATGGGAGTTTCCGAATATAAGGGGTACCTTATTTTGGGGTCCTTATAATAAGGATCCTATTATTTAGGGTACTATATTAGGGTCCCCTATTTTCGGAAACCCCCACATGCAGCCCTGCAGTTCACACCCCACAGCACCCGGGCTCAGGTCATCTCAGGTCCTTGTAGTGCGACGTCGTTTTCTGCGGAGTCCGCTCGCAGAAGCAGCTCTCACAGCCAAGAAGGGAGAACTTGCCTGATACCAAAGCCGAGTCAGCATCAGAACTCGCGACAGGTATCCTTCCCATGACTTCTGGTGGCACATCATTACAAAAAACCTGGTGGGCAAGTCACGCGAATCTGCAGCACATCCATCGCCAGATGTGCTCGAGCAATGGAATTGCTCCTCACATTCCTAGGTGGAACCAATGTCTGTTAGATTCGGGAACATGTGGCTCAATGATCAATGACACTTTTTTGGAATGTTCGAGACAGCTACCTTCGCACACCAGGGCCTTGGAGGCTCAGTGGGTCTGTCCACTCCGAGGTGTAGTACGGATTCAATCGGACGCTACCTTAAATTCAGACCCCTGCACGCTTTACCGCAGTCAGGACTCCGATGGGTTTATCATGGGCAGGGAATGTAAACCCAAACCGAATCAAGCGTAGTCGCGAAAGCTAGCAGAATCTCTGCAACCAACAACTACTAAAGTTACCAAAGACCCATAAACTATAGAACCGACCAAAAAGGACACCCTAAACCCGCTCCACTCTGCAGACGAAGTGGCGCAGACCCCACCAGGAACCAGCCGAGCCTAGGTTGCTTTGAAGCAATTCCCGAAACCCGACACTTCCAAGATCTTCCAAGCTTGCACATGGTCAAAAGCAGACGCAAGCAAACAGTGAATTATTGACATGGTTACGAGCGTGAGAGACGTCGAAGAACAGACCGACTTCAAAGATAGAGGAAACAGAGTCAGAGGCACCGCCAGTGAACACAAACAGCAGGAGCAGCGTGCACGTACAAGCCATACGGAGAAAGATTGAGAGACAGGCCTGCAAGTGGAGACAAGCCCACAGATGTAGCAAAAGCAGCGGCCTCTCATTACTCAGGATACCAAGTGGGCATATGTGCACATATATGTATACACATATACATACGAATGCTCATATATATATATATATATATACATATGTACATGCATACATACACACATGCATGGATGGATGGATGGATGGATGGATGGATGGATGGATGGATGGATGGATGGATGGATGGATGGATGGATGGATGGATGGATGGATGAATGTAAGTAAGTAAGCAAGTAAGCAAGTAAGCAAGTAAGCAAGTAAGCAAGTAAGTAAGTAAGTAAGTAAGTAAGAAAGTAAGTAAGTAAGTAAGTAAGTAAGTAAGTAAGTAAGTAAGTAAGTAAGTAAGGTAAGTAAGGTAAGTAAGGCAAGTAAGGTAAGTAAGCTAAGTAAGGTAAGTAAGGTAAGTAAGGTAAGTAAGGTAAGTACGGTAAGCAAGGTAAGTAAGGAAGTACGGAAGTAAGGAACTAAGCAAGTAAGTAGGTAAGGCAAGTAAGGCAAGTAAGGCAAGTAAGGTAAGTCGGTAAGTAGGTAAGTCGGTAAGTAGGTAAGTAGGTAAGTAGTTAAGCAAGTAAGCAAGTGAGTAAGTAAGTAAGTAGGTAGGTAAGTAAGTAAGCACGTCATGTATGTGTTTATATATGTATCTATCTACCTATCTGACTATCTATCTGTCTATTTAGATATCTAGCTAGCTGTCTAGCTATGTATCTACCATATATTATATATCTATGTGTGTCCATGTCTAGGCAGAAAGAGATGGACGTCTCTCTGCGAGCATCTGCTGTCTTTATTCCACAGTTGCCTTCAACCAAGACGATTATCAGACGGCGTATCCCTGACACTGCCATCTTCCGCAAACATTCTGCGAGTGTTTACCACAGGCCCGAGCTTGGTGAGGAGGTACAATCTGCGTCAGAATGGACAACGAAATTCAGACAAATCTGGCCTACACCCTGCCCACAAAACCATCCCTAACGACCGAACCCTGAGCCCAGGACATTGAGTGGACAGCGAGCACAGCGGCAGTCTCGGCATGTTGGCCTTGAGTAGTTCGGTGAACTGCTGCTTCCGCCGGTTCTCCAGCATGAGAGAAAGGATGAAAAGCTGCGCACGCATGCATTGACATACTGCTGCCCTAATTATGCTCCAGCTGAGCTCCAGGAAATCACAGGTTGCACTTGGCACGGGTGGAGCTCTGCTTTCAAGAGGGGTCTGTGCCGCTGGGCCTAACCTCAGAAGCCCAAAGCTTCTGCTGCCAAGTCGCAGGGAATACACCAGGCTGGTGCTGGACCTGCAGGGCGGGAGATATGCTCACAAATCTGCTGTCATGTGCCAAAGGAAGCCTCGTCATCACGATAGTTCACTGAACTACTGAGCCGCGCGGTGATAACTTATAGATTATAGAGTGTCACCCTACTGCTTGCCATTGCGGGAAGGCATGCTTAAGGCGGACATCTCTCAGTCTCTAGTTTCGCAACACCAGACGCGAGCTGGCACCCTTCTGCACCACCCTCGAAGCAGTGATTGCCAGTCTTGCAACGGCAAAGGGAACCTGGGCATCGACAATGAAAACTTGTCCACCTGTACATCAGTCGAATACATTACGGCCAGAATGCTAGAACCGTAAAGAAGCACCAACAAGCGTCGCAACAGTCTTCAGCCACAACTGTCACGACCACCACCACTACAGCCACCGTCACCACGACGACAACCACAACAACAACAGCAGCATCGGCAGCAGCAGCAGAATAAAACACAACAATAACGACCCACAGAAACCCAGCCCCAGCCCGAGCCCCAAACACAACGACAACAACCACACAACGACAACCACAACCCGCTACCACCGCTACCACCACCACCACCCACCACCACCACCACTACCCGCCACCATGACCACCCGCCACCACGACCACCCGCCACCACGACCACCCGCCACCACGACCNNCATCGTCATAACCATCATCGTCATCAGCATCTCAGCCGTTGTCATTGTAATCATAATCACAGTCAGTGACATTCAGTGACAATGGCCATCATCGTTGAAACGCTCAGACCGTCATCACCAGTCTTCAGTGAGGATTCTCAGTTACCTGAACCGCTGCGAATTATGATTAAGTGCCGAAAGTTGGGGCTGGAGGGATACTGGAACAGATCACGGAATCTTTCCAGCTCATCCGAGGCGCCGCGGGGCATGGATAGGGCTGGACATGTGAAGGGCGCGAATGCCGAAGGACGAGACCACACTGGCACCCATTCGGAGGATGCACTCTGGCTGACCACATCCTCAGAAAGCTGCGACCCAAGAAGGCTTCTCCATTTCTCTGCTCTTTTTGGAAGGAGAGTGTGAAGATCTGTGCAGTGCAAACTCGGGTCCGGGCCTGCACGAAATAGCCTCGGTTGAGCCAAAGCTGAGCACATGCTCACGGCCCTTCCCTCCCTCTCCCTGCCTCTCCCTCCCTCCGTCCCTCCCCGCCTTATCTCCTTATCACCCAAGGGACAGTAGCTGTCGGCGTTAATCAATGCTCTGGCCGGCATGTGCTCGGCGAGCAATCTGCAGCTCTCCTTCCCGTAGCCCTCGCAGGAAGGGCCGAGCTCTCTCACTCAACACAGCTTGACGGCGCGACATGCCACTGCTACTGTCCTTCATAGCACTATTCTCGTTATTATAGGTTGTGATGCCTCAATATGGGCTTCGGCTTCAAGAGCACTTCATGGCCTTCGGAGAGCAGTCCATTTCTTCTGGAGGTTTGGCCAGATCTGCGCAAACATCCTCCGTGAATGCCTGCGTGGTCGCAGGAGCACTGCAACCGCTTCACGCACGGCAGCAGCCCCCAACAACTAATGTACTTGGGGGGGGGGGGGGGGGGG